ATGGGGTTTCGCTTTTTTAAGCGGGGGTGTTGGGTCGGCAGCCCCCAATACGTAAAAATAAATAAAACATACTTACCTTAGTCGTTAGATAAATCTGCGTTAAGACTCGGGGCCATACGTACGTGTCAATATGCATGTAGAACCATTGTGTCTTTTTTTGATGAGTTGTAAATACGTTTTTATGGGTGATGAAGGAGATAAACGTCAATTTTTAATTATAGCTACTATCCTAGTGCATTCTTGTTTTAGTAGAGATTTCCTATATAACTGCATTCCATGTGGATTCAATGATTGTAAAGTATCCAGTGTTTTGCAAATTGAAATAGATAAATTTTAGTCCGTAAATCAAGGATTTACTGCAGCTCTGTTTCCAGAAATCTAAGATGTGTCTCTTACGTTTCATTTTTCTTATACTGCCGATTGCTGTTTCTCGAAACAAGACCGTCCCCACTTCATGTTTACAAGTTTTGCCCTTCCACTTATTCAACATTTCCATAAACTAAGGATCACATTTATCGCTAAAATTTCCAAAAATTCTAGAGTGTTGCAGTCAGTCAATTAAAAATATCCATTCATAGAAAACACAACACAAATCATCTTAAATAAGGTGCATGATGAATCACTGTTTACAATCAAATAGAGTGGAAGTCAAACTTTCTATATTTCACGTCACCTACCCTGACCAATCACAGCACTGAAATAAGTCACGTGCTTAACAACGTCACGACTTTGAAATGTGGCCGACAAAATGAAAGCCAAAGGTTTGTTTTGAAAGTGCTTTTAGTTTTAATTAATAACTTCGTTAATTAAACGAAGTTTATTAACATGAAAATGACGAGGAATTAAAAAAAATAGGTTATTTTTGCATTTTATTGCCTTTTTAGCGAAATCGTCACGCTGACGCGTGACTCTCTTCTAGATAAAGAGCACGTGATATTTCCACGTTATTTTGACGTACCGGTAAAGTGTAGTTGTCCCTACTCATTTAAATACTTTGACCTATTTAACTATATATTTGCAGTATTGGAATATTGCATATTGATTGTATGAAATAATTCATATAAAACATATTTTGCTTTACCTGAACTAATTCAACTGCTAAGATCAATCCACTTTCAAGGTCCATTAATGAATAACTGCCATACTTTGCTGAATGTCCAGGACTTCAGCACCTAGCATCACCACCCACTTTGACGTCTCTGGCAACACACTGTTGCAGTGCAGCTCTCTGGTACTCTATCCAGATGTTCCGCACCGCAGGGATAAGATATGAACTCTGAATATACCTGAATGTCCTTTCACTAATGCACATAATGTTCATATTGTTAAATAGTTGAAGAGCTTTGGATACACTAGCTCCTGAGAATAAAATACTCCCTGCTACTTCCAAGTTCCCAGAAGGTAGCCTGGAAGTCAATGGCTGGCTACCCCAAGTGAACACAAATCCACAAGCAGCGCAGGAAGACAACAAACGCACAAATGACCCCAGCCTGCTCTTTATCACAACTCTGCAATGCTCTTGACAACTCCTACAGGGTGACAAAAGTTCTTTCAAGCAACTCTCATAAACTATGCATTTCCTCTCTCTATGGGCTCGGTCTTCTTGATGGTCTGTGATATCCCTTGGAAACATCAAAAAATAGTATTAAAATTTTTTTCAAAGTAAAGATAAAGTGAATGAGCAACAGACTTTTAAAAAGGTTTTGCTTACAATAAAATCAGGTTTAAAGGAAATAAAAAAGTTTTTCAAGAATAAAATATAGATTTATAGTAAATGCTTAGAAAGATGGAGATATATTATGCTTACAGTTCATCAACTGCTTCATCATAGTCATCACCAGATTCATCATCTGGAAGCCAATCTTCATCTTCCTCGTCAGAACTGTCCTCCGAGTCTGTGTCTTGTTGATCTTCACTGTTGCACTGGAGGGGCAGTACTGCTGCATCAGTCTCAGTTCCCACAGATTTCTGGACCACATCTTCCGTCATAGTTGCAGTTAATTTCAGGACTGGCGTTTGACGGAAATCTGTCATTGTACCAATAGTCCTCTGGATTGGTTTCAAGTCTAACTCTTCTGTCTGGATCCTCTTTACATAAACCTTCTAAAATAAGAGAGAAAATTAAAAAAAAAACTGTAACTTTTGCATATATACATTGTTACCTAAATAAAAGATATCTTCATAAATTTAAAAACTAACAAAAAATATCTCCAGAAAATAGGAAAATACTTTTATCTCGGTCTGCATACATGCATCCCTTTTCTCCCCAACTGTTGGAGCTTCATCATGTTCATTGTTTTCCTCAATGATCTCATCATCTGAATCAGGTTCAGGGGGCGGGGTGTTCAAAGCCTCTCGTTGATGACACATGTAGTCATTATATGCCTCTGATATGACCTACAACTCGAACATCAAAATAAATGAAAGAGCTTGTTGCCTTTTTTTTCATGAAATTTATTAAAACATTATTTTATCTAAAAATGGGCAGCTCCACATATCTTTTGCGAAATAAAGCATAGAAAAACATTTCCCGCATAAGGAATCCTGAATTTCAAAATAAACTTTATTTTTAATTAGTTTATGTTGTATGTTCAATGCTGTTCTCTATTCAAAATTTCTGCCTTTAATTGTGTAAGTCTTTTTTTTTTTTGTTCTAGAAAGTTCCTATATCAAATGTTAAAATTAACCATGCTAATTAAATGTGGAGAAAATTCAGAAACCTGTTGTTAGCCTGTATATTCTGAACTGTGTATTGCGCTCCATTCAAGAAATGAATATAAGGTGAGCATTATAATAAAAGCTGGGTATAATACATTATTTAATTTGTGAACAAATCCTATTTCTATAAATACATACCCTCTGTGCTTCCTTCTTTTTGAAAGCTGGCTTGATACTTGGTATGACGGCTTGTGGCTGTTGTGGACCTAGGAGTAGGGTCGGGTACGCATCAGGCTTTAATCTTATTTTAAATCCTGTAAGATTCATTGATTCCACTACAGATAGATTCTTCGTAAAACAGTCCGAAGTAAAATGGTCGGAGCAAAACTCACAGAATGATAATTTGGGGTCCATAATTTGTCTAACGTAGTGTTTGTGTAGAAGCTGATCTGTTTACTTGGTAGATCCACTTCAAATAAAGATCTTTCCTCTTTTTGACATTTGGAAATCTGTGAAAACTCACACCAGCAGTATTCTCTGGATTGTTATTACAATTCACAACCGCACAAATCACCATATTTTACTGATAAGCAGGTCTTTTTTTGATGTCCATGTAGTAGTACTGTAGTTTTCTTTTACCGCGCTGACTTCCGATGGTAGATATAGCGATTCCGAGAACTGCCGGAAATTTACCTGTTTGTTTATTGGCTGTTTACTACGCTTTATGAATGAGTTAGAAGACGGAGACTTTTACAAGTCTTGTGTATATGTTATTTGCTTCGCGATTATGCAAAGTTGTTACGTATGTTTCCGGAGACCTTTAAACGACTCACTGTCACATGTGACCGTAAAAATTCCCCCCAATGCTTTTCCCTACATATTCTACCTGTATTAAACGACCACCTGTCTAACGCGACCAACGACCGTGATTTTTCTGACCATTTTTAGGAATTTCAAGCAATTTTACCTGAATTGAACGACTACATAATTTCCAATTCCTACTTTCGATTTCGGTCTAACATGCTCCGTTTTTAGTTCAAAACAACTACAGACACGCTTTTATTTATTTTATAATTATATAATGCGAGTTTTACGAATAAACAACATTTATAAATGGACATTTTTACTTACGCTTTGATATTTATTGAATAAACATCAAAATCTAAAACATGACGTTTTTCTGTCCAGTGATCGAGCGCCATTTTGAAAATAAACGTTCGAGGTCGATCCCGATATCATTTCATGTTATAAGGGCCAAATGGATATTCAGGTATAAAAAAATGCCTGTTTAACTTTAATTAACATATAACTAAATCATAGATGTTTATTTAAGTGCATTGTGACACCAATGGGTATGTAAACACACGCTAGCTAGCACCCAAACCATGTGATAATTGAAGTGATTTGATTAAATCACAAACAGGCCATCAGACATTGTAGTTCAGTAATGGAAAAAAAATTAATTAGGCCCTAGGTTAAATAAATATTTCAGTCATAAATATAATTTATTTTGATACCAAGTGCATGTATAACAAAAATCTTGATACAATTTTTATTCTGAGTAATATGCAAAGCATACAAATTTATTTATAAGCTAATTGTTAAAAAAAAAACTTTTATAAGGGGGGAAAAACTTTGCAGTCTTTTTATACTGTATGAAAAAATAGTAACATTTTCAGATGTTCACAATTTTTCCCAATATTCAAATGACTCAGGTGTGGATCAAGAAATGTTTATTTCTTAACAGGACGATTTTAAAAGCATTTTAGAGTTGAGCAGTACCTATTAAAAAGTGGAAATAAACATAAGGTGCTATAAAATACATTCAACATACATGTACATGTGTGATGTTTTCATCATGGTATACTTTGAACACTTCGAAAATTAAAAAAACCTGTATTAAGAGACCACCTGTCATATGTGACCTTTTTTCCTTTCTCCGTTGAAAGGTCTCTTAATACAGGTTTGACTGTATTATAAATTTGGCCATGTAATCAAGTCTAATCTTAACTCTTTACAGTTCTAAACGTAAATTTTATGTCCTGCATCGGGGAATGACCCTTGATATTTTTGTTCTTGATTATAACCCATACGAAAATGTGTAGTTGACCGTCAAGTAGTCGTGAACTAGCCATCAACTAGTCGTCAACTAATAATGCGAAAACAGTTGACCAATCGGAGTTGAATGCTTTTCTGAAAAGCGATCAACTGATTTGCATAAAACGGCCAGTTGACCGTTAGCTGAAAGCTAATACTTTGAAATTTCATTCAAAACAAGAGTTGGCCACTAGGTGACAACTCCGGCTTGTAAGATAATTTCTCCCACGCTACATTTATGTTGGGTTCAACATTTCATTATCATAGATCGGGTTTGTTATACCATAATAACAACAACCAAGATTTGAATCAGTACATGTGTGTTTTCTGTAGAAGATGGAAATTTTGATTTGAAACATTATTGTCTTCGTGATGATGCAGCGTGTGAAATATATCTCATATACTTTTGTAAGTATATAAAATGTAAAGACTTGTTTTATTAAACTTGTTATTTTTAAACAGATAATAGGAATACAAAACACTGTAGCCAGTATAGGTCCCTATTTTTGTGTTCTTTTTTAAAGAGCTAAGTCCACGAACCATAAAAAATGCCTCTTGCAAAATACTTACGCAATTTTTATCATAGATAGTATAGACTTTAGGCTTTTCATAACCGTTTTTCTTTTTTTAATATCTATTATACTTTTTAAAAAAGAAGTCTTGCAATATGGCAATGTTTCCGTAGAAAAATGCAATAGGAACGTATCATATAAAACAAAAAAGTTGATAATTCTGTCTGAATAGAATAAAAAAAAATTGGAAATCACTTCTGCCGCGGTAGCTTTAGATACATGAAATAGTTGACATTGGAGCCTGTTGAACATCTAGATCAAATTACCTGTACACTACTTGAAAAGAAGTTAACGATATTGAAAGGACCTTTTTACTACACATTTTTAACTTGGCGAGCGCTCGCGAACGTGTGGCCTGTCGTTCAGGCCTCAGCTGTTAACCAATTTTTATAGGCGAGCGAGAAATATCCGCGAGATTCGCCATACCTCAACCTCGCAGATATTTATCTTCGCGAACCAACCAATCGCTGGATCATGTTTAATCCAGTAAAATAATTAATGTATGCAGGACGGTATTTGTAGTATGTCGTAGATACATCGTTATCGATTGACTTATATGCAATAAATTTAGTATGCTTTTTTTCTTAACTTGTGCATTGCTTGTCGTTTACCACTTTCCGTTTTATTTTCACATGATGATTTCCTTGTGTAGTATTGCGTATGCAATTCTTATGAACACACAAGATAAAAAGTGAAATACAGGTACAGACGTTTTACTAATATTTATAGGGAAAGATTGAGTTACCCAA